CTTTTGTTGCCAGTTCAGAGAGTCCAGGTGGTTGAGTATCAGAGTGTTCCATCTCATTTCCCTTTGAGGTTGCTGTAGGTGAGCTGGAAGTCTGGTTTTGAGACCTATTGTTTTCTCATTTCGACTGGGGGGGTAGGGGGGTGCTGTTGGCACCCAAGAGGCTCACCTCTGAGCTGGGAGAGGTGGGACAGGGGCCGGGAGCGGCAGTAGGGATGGTGGCCCAGAAGCCCCTTCCTCTGGACCAAGAGCAATGGGACAGCAGCTCAGAAGCCCCTACCTCTGGGCCGGGAGCAGCAGGATGGATGACAGCCTGGAAGCCCCTTCCTCTGGGCTGGGAGTGGCAGGAGGGATGGTGGCCAGGAAGCCCCTTCCTCTGGACCAGGAGCAGTGCGATGGCTGCTCAGAAGCCCCTACCTCTGGGACAGGAGCAGCGGGATGGATGGTGGCCTGGAAGCCCCTTCCTCTGGGCTGGGAGTGGCAGGAGGGATGGTGGCTGGGAAGCCCCTTCCTCTGGACCAGGAGCAGTGGGATGGTGGCTCAGAAGCCCCCACACCAAAACTTTTAAATATTGTTTTTTATTTAGAGAAACAAAAGCTGCATGGAAACAAGTGTATTTGAATTATCTGATTTTATTTACCACACCAGTACAACTTATTCTGGTAATAAATTAATATGTAGTTACAAAAAATGTTGTGTGCTAAGAAAAATGCTTCTGTACATATAAAGTATATGTAGAATTTTTAATTTTTTGGTACCAGGGATTGAACTCGGGACCTTGCGCTTGCGAGGCAGGTGGCGGAACCTATGTAGAATTCTTAAACTGTTTGACTTAATAATTCACAAACTCAGAAGTGTGGCAACATCAAGTTATTGAAGGAAACTGGAGTTTCCAGTCTCTGTAATTCAAGATTCAATTTTGAGTGTGTAAAATTTTCAATCACCATTTCAGTTCATACAAGCCACCACACCTGAAACAAGACCTAACTGCTAAGGAACCACCTGCTATGGTCTCCCAACCGTACAGATGAGGAATCTACTGGCCTGGCCAGAGATGACAAAGTTAATCAGACACAGAACCTGGGTTATGCGGTTTTCACAGATGCTCCAGAAATGTCAGGGCAGGAGGTGGGAGTGCTGAAAAAGGCACATGTATCACACACAAGTCCAGTACTACTTCAAAGACCTGGGTTTTCCTTTCTGCTTAATGTAGGATTAATTCCTGGTATGTTTTTGTATTCACAAATATAGTGACTGAGCTCATCAGGGTGTCTGTTCCTGTTTGAAATTCATCAGCAGCAGAAAAAGACTACACATTAGCACTATTTACAGAAGCATCAACATGAGCGCAGGACAGTTCATTTCTCTTGGCAGCTCATTCCCACCAGAGTCAGCTTGTACCTTGCTCTCTTCTGAGCAATCACCTTGCTCAAGGACAGCGTGGATTACTTCTGGGACATCAGTGTTCCACACAGCAATGAGATTTCACATTGTATCAAGAATACAGCAAATAATGTACTATGCACTTCTGGCATAAAATTTTTTTTTTAAATTACGTCTCAGTCTAATGCTGCTGCCAGCAGCCATTACAAAAAAGCCCATTTAGATTGCTTTAATTTAAACCTCTGGTGAGTGTGTGCAGCGTTTACTAATTAGTAATAGAACACTCACATTTTAGCAAGTGATTTTTCTGATCACAGGGGCCATTTCCAAAACAGCCTCCTAGGTGTTAGTACTTTCAAAACTATATATACATAGCAAAGTTGTGTTTATAAAGGGATTTTTCAATTCTCATATAAGTGATTCTAATTTCTTGCTACTTGCAGCAAAGGAAGATCAACAGCCTATCTTCTTTCTGTCTTTCTCCAGGGCAACATTTCTCTGCAGGAGAGCATGTCTAGTTTGGTTGCATCGTATGGAGATTTATTAATGTGCTCTCATGGGTGTATTTATTCAGAACAGGTCTCCCATTTCCCAGCTCCTTTTCTGTTGTACATGTTTTACCTTTTGGTAGTGACCCAATACATATACACTGAAAGCACTGCTACCAGCCATAAAGACTTACCAACCCCTCTCTAAAGTGCAATTTCATTAGTATTATCAAACAAATAAAAGCCCAAAGACAAAAATATTCACTGTGATGTGGCAAAATCATTCATGCATTTCATTTACTTAAGCTGGAGTGTTTCACTTCTCTCATTATTACTGATTTCATTTCCTTCTGCTGTTTCTCTTGCTCTGACTTGTAAAGAACATGCAGAATATAAGGAAATTCCATTCTTTTGACCATTTCACTTTAGACTTTCTTCCTTACTCATTAACTCTTAGCTACGGAGAAACTATGGAGAAACTGTGGTGTGGCCTTGCTGTCCTTCCTTTTTTTGAGACCAGGGTCTCACTGTGTAGTTCAGACAGGCCTTGAACCCACTGTGTAGCCCAGGTTGCCTTGAACTCAAGGTGATCTTCCTTTGTCAGCCTCCCGATTGCTGGGATTACAGGCGTGAGCCACCATGCCTGGCTCTTTCCTTTTTAACGCCATGATTGAATTCAGCATGAAGCATAACAGAAATGGCATGCTGAATGAACATGAGCATTCTAATAATGCCAAGACTGAGGAGACTGGCGTGGTGAGGGAACTGCAAGCACAGTACTGACAAAGCAACAGATTTTAAGTTTAGAACCACAAAGCTGATGTCAACATTCAGAGAAAGGGCTAATTTCCCTCATTTTAATAACTAAGTTAAAAATATAATCTTTTTTTAATGAAGAAATCCTAATGAATGAGGTAGATGATGCTGTAATCAGATACTGAACTAGGTTTAGGATATAAAAATGATGAAACTAAGGGACAGAAAGCACCATTTAAAATTACCTTTCTTTACATTCAGCTGGGTAATTAAGAACACTTCAAAGTTCTAAGCATGAAATCCAGATAAGAAAAGTTATGAGCTTGCTTCTCTATTTGAAGATGAACCCAGCACTTGATGAACAGATCCGCACTCTACCGAACAGCAAATCAGAAAGCAGCTGTCACTGCAAAGCCAGGGACTTTTCATTTGATATTTCCATCCACTTATCCAGGATGTGAATTCCTGAAGGCTTCTTCAGCATTTAACTAATTCTTTATTGGCTGAAGGGGCTGGGACCATTTCTCCACACATAAACTGATCCTGAAAGAAGAAAAAAAATCAACCACTCAGTTTCTGTAACACAGATGCACTGATATTATTTTCATTTTGCTATAGAATCAATCCAGCTGTTTTTCCATTTCTGTGTCATTTCATTCGTGTGCAAAGAGCAGTATCTGTCTAGAATTAGAATCTTAAAAGTATGTTTTTAGTCCTGAATTCATTATTTAATAAGAAGCATCTTATCTTATAAACTCATCTCTCAGATACCATCTTCTCATGACCAGAAATAACAAAAAGACATGTCACATCTTTTAAGTTTCTGTATCAATCACTTCAATATTTGGCCATTCACATACATGTCCTCTTAAAAACAATTACTTTTTCCAACTAAAAGGGATAGGCCTTTATGTGTTTCCTGACACAGATAATCTGCAACATCAGCTACTTTGTATATGAAGTTCAATCTGATCATCTGCCTTGGTTTATGTCAGCTACACAAGAGCTCTCCGCCTCCAGCGACCCCTCATCTCCTATAACTTGATCTCTAAAGAATCTGCCCTATTCCGTCTTCTGCTTCCTCCTGCCCATCAACCCAGAACCCTGCCGTGCTCTTTGGAATTCATCATGCATCATCAGCACAATGCTCCCTTTCTCAACCTTTCTTTGAAATGTCCCTTTGCTACCACTATCGGGAAACATTTTGGGTTGACACGAGTGGGGGGTTGCTATTAGTATCTACTGGGTACTCCAGGGTTGCTGCTAAACATCCCATGTGCATGACAGACCTGCATAATGAATTATCACACCTAAAATGTCAACAGTGCTGAGGCTGAGATGAAGCCATACCCCAAGGACAGTTTCTCCATGGTCCTCCTCTAGTACTGGCTGTGTGTTGGCAGAGTCCTAGTACCACAGGGCTTGGCAGTGGGGACTGGTTGCTCCTTTTCGTCACCATTCTCCTTCCTTCTCTAAAAATCCACTCACTTTGAATCTCACCTCATGAGACTACTCAAATATTATTCCTCTCTGTTGCTGTCATCTACCTACCCTGGATTCTATATTCCTATTCCTCTGGCCCTCCCCTGTATTTCTCCTACCACCTTCTCTCAGTCCCTCCCTCTCTTGATGTTCTCTTCGCCTTGTTCAGTTACCCATGGTTGATTATCATAACAACTCTTCTCTCACACCTTCTTCCTATTCACTTGGCAAAACCACAACACTGATTAAATCTAACCTCCAGTGTCTTAATTATTTGATGCAGCTGAGTGTCTGTGACCTTAAACCCTCTCTTAATTTTCTATCACTACCAATTACCGACCCAGGTCTATCCTCCCCTTTGCAGTAAAATCCTTGTAAGAAATGCCTGGACTTGCTGCCTCCTATTCTCCCAGTCTTTCCATCCGATCAGGCTGTCCCTGGTCCCCCACTGAAACTGCTCTCCTCACTCAAACAAGTGAATTCTGTGTTGCCAAAACCAATAGCTAATTCTCAATTTCTTTTCATCAGTGTCATCTGACAAGGAACATCACCTCTTCCACTTTTTCCACCTGGCTCCCAGGACTTGATTTTCCTCCTTCCACAGCACTTGTTTATTTTTCAGTCAGCTTTGCAGATTCCTCACTTACCTCCATGACCTTTTAGTCCTGGAGCTCCCCAGGTCAGTCTTTCTCCTCTATCTCTATATTCAAAGCTCTGGTGATCTCATCTAGTCTCCTGGCTCTAAATGCCATTTGTTGCTGATAAGTCCCAAATTTACACTGCCAGTGTTCTCTCTTTTGAACCCCAGACATGCATATTCACTGACTGCTCAACAACTTCACTTGGATAAGGATCTCTCAGACTTAGTACATTCAACTTCCCCTGTACAATGGCAGTTACCTCCCCTCAACTGATGGTTACTCTGTCCTTCCAGTTAGCCACAAATGTTGAAAGCATCCCTGACTCCTATCACCATCTATACTCAACCAGTAAGAAAATCTTTATCATTCAAAGTATTTTCTCACTTCTCACTACCTCCACTGCTGCAGCCTGGTCCAAGCCACCATTTCTAGCTTTAATGCAATAGCCTCTTACTCCATTTCCCTATTTCTTTCTTCATTCCCTCGAGACTACTATGAACCAAGTATCCAGGAACATTCTTCTAAAATTTAGGTAGGAACATGGCACTCTTCTGTTCAAAAATCCTCCAATGGCTCACTGCATCATTCACAGAAAAGGCCAAAGTCCTTAAAGTGACCCCGGAACATCTCTATGGTCTGCTCAGTTCTATTTATTTCATCTTGGACTATTTTCACACTCATTTGTTCTGGTCATATTGGTCTCTTTTGTTTGTTCCTTGACAAATCCAGGTATGTTCCTACTTAGGGTTCCTTCACTTGTTGTTCCCTTTGCTCAACTCTTACCTCCCACATGCAGATGGCTCACTCCCTCACTTCTTTAATGAATAAGGTCTTTCTCAGCAAGGCCTCCCCTGGTCACCTTATTTAAAATTACAACCTTCTCCCAGGCCAGCACTCCTGATCTCCCTTGTCCTGTCTATCCTCCCTTTTTTGCTCCAGAGTATATTCTACTACAACAATGAACTAAATTTCTATGTTAAAGTCTAAATTATAGCCCGCTTCTCATGAAGTTCTGTGCTTCATCCTCATTTTTCCTCTATACCATCTTAGTGTTAAGTCCTTACTTAGGACTTCAAAGTATTGACAAAACTTGGAGCACTTGTGGGCAGTAAAACCGTTTCATTTTTTCCCACTCAATATGCTTGGATGAAAGGCAATAGGACAACTAAAGACTCAAGTGAAATTATAAAATTGCAACTAGGAATTATACCTCAAGATAATGCAGTTATATGTATAAACCAAGCAAGAAGTAACATACAGTTGTTCCCACCAAAATGTGTTTAGGAGCTCTAAACAAATTTAATTACATATTGGATAACGAAAGAATACAGTATCAATTAAACTTATAATTATTTTTTCAATTTATAAAAAGTAGTCAATTTTCATTAAAGATTTATTAACTTCTCTAAAGCTACCATGTGGCACGTAACTAAAATTTAAATTTATGATATGGATGTTTATTAATAATTTAAAATGCCTGTTTTTTAAAAATACCACTTTCCCTAACACATTGTTAAGAAACCTTCTTCACCTTATTTCACAGCCAGGCTGCTCTAGGTCCTTATTATGACCTCATAACCCTCTTCCCCCTTTTAAAACGTATCTCTTACTTTGTCATAAATCACTTTTATAATGAGAGAGCAGCTAGGACACGTTGCCACATCTTCTCCATTCTCCAAATCTTCCTACAAGAAAATCAAAAAACGTGTGGTCAGTATAGCCTTCCCTTGGCCATTTCATTCCTCCAAACCTCGCCCACTCCCACGTGCACGTCTCTCTGCAGATTGCCTCCCCGAAGGGCGAGAGCTCAGAGAGCCTTCCCCAGTTCCCCCTGCACGCAGCACTTAAAAGGAAACACCCACGAAGGTTAAGGGTCGGTCATCGCGAAACTCCTGCCAAATGAAAACCGAGCCTCCTAGCCCAAGCATGTAACCCAGCAAAGAACTCTAAGAATGGTTGGTGCTGTGTAAGAGACCGGCGTTCATGGTCACCCCATCACAGGACAGACTGAAGACTAGAACGATGTGTTCACTGAGACGTCAAAGTATTAATTTTAGGCGAGGGAAAAGAGGACATGGATGACTCAGAGCAGCAAGGGCGACTGAATGGCGCCAAGCAACACAGCAAAGCGAAAATGTGCCTCGTCCGGTGAGTTGCGGGAAGTTACCTTAGTGATGGAAAAGTTATCCCCACACGGGCAGGGATAGAAATACGTTTCCGAATCCTCGTCATATTGAAAGTCCTCGATCTCCACCTCGTCATGGAATACCGCCATGGCCTTGGGGCCGGCAAAGGGCTGACGGCCGCGCCGGCTGACAGCACCACGTCTGGTCTAACTTAGGGGCCTGGATTCACCATCATCACCATGAACAAATGCAAGAACCGTCGCTTCCGGCGCACAGACAGTGATGCAAACCCGGCCTTAGCTGCCAAATGGGTGACCGGGTCGCGGTTACCATAGCGATGGCTGAGCTAGGGGCAGAAGCTCTGGGAAAATGGCGCCTCCTGCACAGCAGTGTCGCGCACCACTCTTCCCATTGGACGGTAGCGACCAATAAGAGTGGGGCTTGTCCCGCGGTTTCTACGTCACGTCTGGGGTCGCGGAGGTTCCCAGGCACTGAGGGATTTGGACCAGGTGTGCGAAATGGGAGCGTGTGATGTTCCTTTACCTGCGTCACGTCGGTGACTTTAGAGTGGCCTTAAACAGCTCGTTGAGGACTCACAAGTGGCAAAGCAACGGCATCTCTTTGCTTGATCTCAGGTGGCGGCGTCTCCGTCCCTTCCTGTTGACCAGTGAACAGCTCTCGTGGAATTTAACTTCAAGTGACCTTGAGGTCAGGGGGACGTGCAGTTTGCAATAGTTCCTGGGTGCAGGTACTACATCCCAACCTCTTCCTCATCCCGGACATCTTCAAATACCCTAAATTGTGTTACTGGGAGGACCAAGACCTGAAAGGCAGGGACTGAATCCTAGTCCTATGTTTGTTAGGGGGATTCGACATGTGTCAGGTGTTGTGCTAAGTATAATTATCCGTTAACCTTGGGTGTTTTAAATTGTTTTATTAATCTTTAAACTGAGGTCCAGAGAGTGTCCACCTTGACCAAAATCACATACTTAGAAGACAATGAGGAGCTTTTGCCTGTAGGTCAGAAACAAATTACCTACAGAAGGAACCCCAATTTCTTCTGTAAATGGAGTGGTATCAACATGAGTTAGCAACATGAGTCTCTGAACCTTGAAGCTAAATCCCAATAGAAGGTGGTTATCTTGAAAGCAGCGCTAGTGCCTGTTCCAACCGGATACCATGAAACATTGCTCCCTTGCTAGGCGATAGAAAAGGAGTGCAGTGAGTAAAAAAAGCACTATTGAAAAACAGGTCTTGGCTCAGAATCTGACTTGATTGGAAATTAGTTCTGGGAATTGGAGAGTTATATTTTTGGACCTTATTTCCTCTTCTAAGAAAAGATTGGGCTAGAGATGATTACAAGATCCTTTTCAAATCTTTTTTTTCCCCCTTTTCAAATCTTAAGGTTCTTTTGTATGGAAATTTAAGAGTTTTACTTAGTTCAGCAATCTCATAACTTAATTTACATACTACATACTTAATTCACTTCTCTGCGCTTATGTATACACCCTCAAGTGTTTTTGTAAAGTTACCAGTTTTGTTCATACTGAAATTCCAACTGGGAGAAACTTGAAGTTTAGAAACCTGAAATTAGGAGAGGAGTCTGACAGAAAAAATCCAGAAGTTGTATTAAAGGAGTCTATAGAAGTTTGGTTCAAATATTTCACAAGCCCTGTTGAAGATCTACCCAGCAATTAGGAGACATTTGAAACTTGTTGAAGGGTAACCATAGTGATTCTGGGCAAAGCAGAAATCAAAGTCCACACAGTTTAATGGCTGCTTCCTGTATCTCTACACACTGACACTTCCCAGGTAGCCTCTTGGAGGCAAGAGGAGATTAAGTGTTTAATTTTAGTTGCAATGAACATGGTTGGGAACCATGTTTTCTTATATAAGCCATTTTTAAATGTACAGGAATGGGAGCAGTCATTTGGCTCAGGAAGTATAAATTAGTAGGTCTTATTTTTTATTTGATGCTGGGAATCTTGCATGTATTAGGCACGTGTAAGTGGCGAGTCCTAGTAGTATCATCAGACTACCATTAGGCTCTATGCCCAATCCTAGTGGGCCTTTTAGAAAGCAGTTTGGACTTATCAAAAATAATGTCTGAGCCATCATAAAATCTGAAGTAAATAGTCTTAAAATTTACAGAGGGTGTCAGGTAGCTTATCTTTGTAATTTTCAAACTTTTCTTTGAGTATGTATTACCTAAAATGGAAAAAGAAAAATTCATGAACCAATTATTAATGATAGTTGACACTGCGTTCCGGGCGCTGTACAAATCCTTAGGTCATTAAAACAACCCAATGGAGTATGAGTATCATTAACATTTTGAACATTGGGAAACTTGAAGCTTAGGGTCTATGCTAAGGCAAAGCTAGTAAGTTGGAATAAAGCATGGCAACAACTCAGATGTGTCCGATCCCTGAACTTAGGCTTTTAATTAACTACAATGCCATTTATGATGTCATGGTACTTCCAGCAGAGCTAGATGAAACAAGCATAGATTTTCTACACCACAGTGCTTATTCTGTTGAGACCTAAATTTGGCAGCTTTTCCTAGGCATTCCGTACTGTTTTCATCTTGCCATTTATTGCTTATCCACCATGTCCACCTGTGGTTCTGCCCAGTGTGCACTTGGACTGTTCTGAAGAAAGTAAAACCATAGCTAAACAAATAATGTAGGTTTTTGTTTTGTTTCTACTCCACAACACTTTTAAAGAAAACACTACAGTGACTACCAAACTTCTATCCCTAAAACAGAATTAGAATATTTTATAATGATACATTTTTGGGGGCTTGAGAGTATGACAAAAGCATATTTACTGGTTGCTACCGGGTCATTTGCTACGTTTATTTTGCAAAACTTAACACTGCTTATGTGGAAGGTGACAGCAAAATTCTTAGTATAAGATCAGATTTAGAACTAGATCATAATTGGGTTATAGCAGCTGTATTTGATGAGTGCTGCTATTATATATCTGTCTACAGAGCGCTGTTTTTTTGCCATTATCAAACCACTACCTCTGTGGGTTTTCAATGAAGAGAAAGGTTAGTGTATGAAGATTGATTTTTTTAGTCATACCCTGGCTTGTCAGCACTGCCACAGTTGTTGTTCTGTTTATTCCTCCCAGCAATCCAACGAGGTAGTGTGGGTATTGTTAGAATGGTAAAAGATGGCTTGCCAAAGATTTACCCCCCAAAAAGCCCACTGTACCACTTGCATGCTACTGAGGTTCCCTTACCGAGTACCCCTTGTTTCCTCAGGGACACGTAGGGTTCTAAATTGACAGGTACCAATTGCTTTGAAAATTTACTGCTTTATTTCAGAACAGTCGTTCTCTGTGAAACATTCTTGGTTTTTCTCTCACTGCTCCCTCATATCCTAAATTCCTGTTTTCACTCTTGACCCTAATCATTCTTCACACCTGGGCACTCATTAAAAATACAAATTAGATCCTGTTTTTTCCTGATTCACTCTTCAGTTGCTTCTCCGTACTTTTAGGGTGAAGTTCATATCCTTACCATGGCCTCCTGTGATGGGGACTTGTCTACTTACTCAACTTTATTTCATTTTACTTTTACCCAGGTTACTGCTTTCCAGCCACACGAATTTGGTTCCTTTACATGCCGGGCTTGGTTTTTGTTTGGGCCGTTCTTCTTGCTGATCCTTCTGCCAGAATGTTTTATCCTTAACACCTGCTTGGCTGCCTGTGTACGATCTGGCCTCAGCTCAGGTGTCATCACTTTGGAGAGGTCATTTCTGGTACTCCTGCCTTTATCACACTCATCCTCATAATAATCTCCTTAGTTATCTGTTTAGTATATTCTGTCTGTATAAAGGCTTCATTGTGGCAAGGCCATTGTGTTTGGTGGTTCTTACTACATCCCCAAGGCTTAAAATAGTAGAATTTAAACCAGTGTGATTAATCCTAAATCTTAATCTGCTGCTTGCAATAATTTGTTTTAGAACTCAGTTAAGGGTTATCAGTTTTATTTAGCATTTATAGTGAATTTTTTGCATTTCAGAAATAGTTAAAATTTTTTTGGTAACGGAGAGCTTGTCAGTATACAGATATTTATGGGGTAATCTTTATAGTTTTATAAATTCCTTAACATATGTTGATCTGTTTCAGTTGACTAAGTATTTTCACTAACTATACTTCCCTTGGGCATATAAAAATGGGTAGATTTTTAAAAATACTTTATTCCAAGGACTGACATAAAGCTTTAGAAGGCACTTTGAACACAATTTTGTAAAAATGCTCTTTATTTACCAGTAGGTGGCAATCTTGATCGTGATTATTCTTACAAAACAGTATTTTAGAATTTTAAAAGGAACTTTTAAAGATTTACATTTCTGTTTTTCAGTTGAGAAGTAGACCACTTAAACCACATAGTCACTGAAGGTGTTTCCTATTGGAAAGATTATGTATTTTAGTAATAGCTGTCTAAAACATTAAATAGAACAGGGTTCCCACACACAATAAATTTGGCCTTAAATGATATGTAACTATTGTTCTGGGGTTTGGCTATGTTTTTACTTCTTTAGCAAGTGCAAGTGCAGCTTGGGTAAAAGCGTGAGAGGAGCCATCAGTGGCCAGGCAAGGAGGATGGCCAACATATGGCAGGGTGAAAACAGGATGGAAGGGAATTTCATGGGCTGGACTTGCCTAAGTAGTAGGAGTTAGTAGGGTCAAGGAAGCTGAGCAAGAGAAGCAGTGAAATAATCAGAAAAGAAAAGGGGGCAAGGTGGGGAGGGGGAAAGTAGGCTTGCTGGGATGGGTGCTCGCTGATTATAATGAACCTTTGCTTTTGCAGCCAAGACTTACTAGGGCTTTTTCTGTTTCCCCAAAACATTTTTCTTACCTGTTGTCTCTGCCATTCCAGGAACTTTTGAGAATTTCCGTATAAGGAAAAACTGTCCATGTTCTGATTGACATCAGTGAAATACCACGACCGAAATACTTCTGCATTAGTCAGCCAGCCATACATTTAATGACTTCTAGAATCTCATGGACTTCTGAAGTAAATTTCACCTTCTTTTTTTCAGTATTAACACACCATTTTTGGTTTAGCGCATTTAAAGGAAGGAAACCACAGTAGCCTTGCATGAAAGGGCGAGTATACTTTTTCGTTTATTAGAAAAATAACCAGTAGCATGTTTGTTCACAATAATGCTGAATTATATCAAGAAGAAATAGATCTTTTATCTAAAGAGTAGTTATAAAGCAGTGGGGTTTTTTATACCATTTGATTGTAGCTGAATAAATCATATCTGGCTTATAGCACCTTATATCACCACCTGACTTTTTTTGGTACCAGGGATCCAAGTCAGGCCCTTGTGCTGCTTGTGAGGCAGGCAGCAGCACCACTGAGCGAAATCCCCAGTCACCTAATTTCTTTTCTACCTCTGTCTTTTAGAATGCAAGCTGAGAGGCTTTTTGTTTTCTTTATGCCTGTATTACCGGTGGCTAGGCCATTGCCTTCCCCCATTCGGCTCTTAGTAACTATTTAATGAAGGACTAAGTCACTGAATATGAAGCTTCATTAATTAGCTTGACTATTTTCTTAACTAAATTTATTATAGTTATATGGTGCCTTCCAAAGAGCTCAGAAAAAAGTGTTCACATACATTTTTATTCTCCAGGTAATTAAGATAGGAAAAGATAGATATGGCAATATAGCATTTTAAATGTGGCTGTTTTGGGGAAAAGAAATGGTTAAAAATTGGCCTAAGAAAATAGTGTTGAGAGGAACCAAAAAAAAAATTAAATAAATAAATAAATATACACACACACGCACGCGCACACACACACACACACACACATCATTTGACTCCTAATCAGTGCTTTTCCTGATAGTAGGTTTTCTTTTTTATTAGTACATGTTTGTGGTACATAATGTTTACATTTCTTGTGGGGAGTTGGTACATGTACCTAATATATACTAATTCCTTTTTACATCCCCTTTCCCTTCCATTAAAAAAATCTTTGTGACAGAAAACAAATATTTGACTTTTGTGTCAACCTGAGGTATAATTTAAAGAAATTGTACCATAATTCAGAAGTCATTCTACTGTAAATATGCTTCCAAAATTTGTATCAGAAATAATATATTTAAAATCTAAAGAATAAATTCTTCCAAGGTTTGTAGCATTTGTAATATCTTCTATGCACTTTTGTTTATTTTCACTTTTCTTTTATCAGTACATGTTTGTGGTACATAATGATTACATTCACTGTAGGAAAAGGCACATGTACATAGCACATTTCCGTTCCCTTCTTTTCCCCTTGCCCTCTACTCCCCTTTTTATTTTTCCAGCATCTGATAGTCCAGTGGTTTTAAGAATTGAGATGTCGGGGCCAGGGATTTAGCTCAGTGGTTTTGCTGCCTGCTGTGCAAGCGCAAGGACCCGAGTTCGATCCCTGGTACCAAAAAAAAAAAGAAATGTTGGAAAGCCTTTCGGTGTGTGTGTGTAACTTTTTAAGTATAACATACACAGCTCCTAAGAGGACAGTTGATGAATTTTTCAAAGAGCAAATACCCAGGCAATCAGCATCCAGATAAAGAAATACCATTGTTATGTCTGTCCCCCAAGGGTCATAGCTTACTTGATTTCTAATATCATAGATTATTTTTGCCTTTTTTTGCATTTTATATGATTGAAATCAAAGAATATGTGCTCTTTTGAGCCTGGTTTCTTTCATTCAAAATGATATTTGTGATATTACTGATATTACATGATATTACTGATATTACTGTGATATTACAAAATGATATTTGTGTATATTACTGTAAGTAGTTGCAGTTCATTCATTGTCATTGCTATGTGGTATGTTTACCCTTGTTGCATTTTGTATAGTTTCTAATGTGGCCCATTATAAATAGCATTATTTTATGTTGGTTCTTTTAATATCTGGGATCTTAAGCTTTTTATGTTTGAGAACCTCAGTAAATTTCTCTGCCTCTTGCATTTTCTCTAACAAGAAATAGTAGACTATATGGTCCTCATCAGGTGGAATACAGTAATCAGCAGTTATGAATCTACTTTCCTCTTCTATAATAGCATAATTTGTCACATTAACTTGGTTACAGATTTTTGGAAACCATCAGAGAACATAACTTTCGTCACATGATGCATAATGATGTTTCAGTCAACAAAGAAATGCACATACATCCCATAAGATTACAGTGGAGTTGAAAACTTCCTGTCACCTAGTAACACTGTAACCATCATAACATCAGAGCACAACTTATGTTTGTAGTGATGCTGGTGTAAACAAACCTACTGTGCCGTCAGTCCTATGAAAGTATAGCACAGACAGTTAGGTGTAGTACATAGTACTTGATAGTAAGTGGCCATGTTACTGGCTTACATATTTACTATATCATTTTAGGATATGCGTTTACTTATAAAAAAAATTCTACTGTAAAACAATATGCCATGTTACACTGGTGGCAGCAGCCTCATGTATTGTGTACAGTGTGTTGATCGCATCAAGAGGCCATACTGAGTAACCTACATTATCCAGGTTTGTGCGAGTATTCCGTATGGAGTTTGCATGATGATGGGATCCTTTAATGAAGCATTTCTCAGAATATATTCCCATTGTTAAGTGATACGTGATTATATTTGATAGCACCAATAATTACATATTTGAATCAGCTCTAAATGGTATCAAATTTTGCACGGTGAAGTTAAGACCTTGCTTGTTTTGCTGGCCGACCAAGTCATAATTGCACTTCAGAAATCCAAAGTTTTTTTACTGACCCCTAAAATAGGGGTCAAATATTTCCCCCACTTTTTCTTAAAATGGTTTTAAATTTGAGTTTTGTTTGCCAGGAAGCACCATGGCCTGTGTCGGTATCTTGGCTCCTGGGTTGGTGGGAGGCGCTGTGGGAGCCGTTTGCACTCGGGCTGTTTCATCAAGGCTGACACCCAGTACTGTGCGCCACCTTACCCTGAGCAGGTGAGTTATCAGCCTTTGGTGTTATTTGGGGTTTATTTTCAGAGAGACCTGATCTGCTGATGGTTGTGGGAAGTATATCAAACTCCCGAAAGAGGCAGCATTTTGGCTTAAATATATGTGCCATCAGTAGATCATAAAACTTTAGTTAGATGTGCACATTTTCACTGACCATTTTGTAGGATACATATTACAGTGGACCCTCAAGTTACAACTGGCCTGACATAGGAACAACTTGGGTTAATTAGGTTAATGGAAAATGCATCTGCCTCTTGTTATCTATAGCATGTGCCCAGGTAAACATCCAGATCTCAGCTGTATTGACTTACAACCAACTTGAGTTAGAACCAGCCCTTGGGAATCAATTGAGTTCGTAAGTCAAGGGTCCACTGTGTATTGTATTTTGAATAGCCATAATATTCCAGGGTAAACTAATTTTATTATTTTTATGAGGATAATACTTACTAACCTAATTTTGCTTTTTATTAAAGCACAATGAAATCCAACAGGAAAACTGACCACTTAGAGAGGACTGCAAGTGTCGTTCGACGAGAGGTTCGTGTCTTTGCGTATGACAGGTTTTCCTGGCCAGACAGTTTGAACACAGTTAGGATGGGCTTTATGGGAAGGCATTAGATGACAGACAGCCAGAGAAGTTTGTTGTTTTTCTATTCTGAAATTTTCTGAGCAGGACATATTGACAACCGATTTTAAAAGATGACAAATACTCAAATTTGACCTTTAAACTTGGAATAAATGGATTAATTTCTGGTGAAGAGAGTGGAGTGACAAAGGAACCATCCTCATAAGCATGACATTTCAGGTTGTATTTTAGAGATAGAACTTCTTTTAGACCCTATATTTTGTGAAATGGCTTACCTTTTCTTTTTCTTTCTTTTTTCTTGGCACCATCTCAAAGTCCTTGATCATCCCTACTTTAGAACCACTTATTTCATCAAGGGGGCAAGAGGAAGGTGACAAGCTCATCACTCTTCCCGTGTACAGATTTCCCCCCCCTATATTCAGACTATAGAAAGCTAATCCACCACCTGAAAAGGGGGTCAAGGGCTGGGGAGTTAAGGGTCCTCACCCTTTACCTCACTGAGTAACCTTGTGCTTATTTAAAAGTATAAATTGGATATTTGATTTTGCATTTTTGAGTGCTTCTTACATATTCAGATATATTTAGCTTAGTGTTTTTCTTTTTAAACTAATGATACTATATCTTTATGTACATCTACAAACATGAACAGAAATGGTATTATCTCAGTTTAACTTTGTTTTAATTGAAGAAAACTCTTGTGGAAAGGTGTATTGTTTAGGCCCTACTTTTAAAACTAATTCTACTTTCAGAAAATTACATTGGGACTGAAGGTGATTTGTTTGTTGATTCAGTTCAAATTGATGTTTTATGAGAAGTTGGTAAAATTAGGTCAGCAGAGTAGGTTTATGGGCATGTGGGAAAATATACTTGTCCTGTTGATGCTAAATCTAAATATACTTGGTTCAACACACAGCAATGCTGATTCTATAAATGTGAGGCTTGTTAAAGTGAAAAGTTTGCTAGGTCTCAAGAGGTAGTTTATCTAGCAGACACATACTGTACTCTTTCCTCTTGTATTTTGAGGCAGGTAGATAAATTAGAGCAAGTGTTGGCAAATTTTCTGTTTTTTTTTTTTTTTTAGGTGCCAGGGATTGAACTCAGGACCTTATGCTTGTGAGACGGGCAGCAGTGCCACTGAGCTAAATACCTAGCCCTTGGCAAACTTTCTAAAAAGGGCTAGATAGTAAATATTTTAGGTTTCATGGGCCATACTGTTTCATTTACAACTACTTAACTATGCCTTTGTAGTGTGAAGGCAGCCATAACAGTTTACCGATTGTAAACAAATTGGTGTAGTTATGTTCCAATAAAACTTGATTTAGCAGATCAGATTTGGCCTGCAGGTAATAGTTGCCAGAACATGAATTAAGGTAGTCATTTCAGGATTTTACAGAACAAAATTTTGGGGAGGTATTTAGAGCCAAGTTTAGGGCAAAGAAAGGTAATGTAAACTCTTAACAGTATGGTTGGTTGAGCATTTTAGTGCCTGGAAATCAGAAAATTACAAGGTTCAAATTCTAATGTTACTACCTTGGAGGAAAAAGGTTCCAGTTGCAGTTCTCCTTCTGTTTGTATTTCCACTCTTCCAAATAGAATGAGAACTGGAGGATGAGGAATTGGAGAGCTAGATAGTCCCTGGGGCACCACCCAGTCCCTCCAGAGGGCGGTCCTAGCCATAGAGCAGGAACTTGGCTGTGCTTGGCTTGTTAAATGAACAGACTCTTAGGTTGGGCTGTAACAGTGCTGCACTAGAGCCTCAGTCTCATCTTCCACTCTCACTTTTAATTTGTATAGCAAGTATAGTGTACTTTATTGTTGGTTTTTTTGGTTTTTTTTGGTACCGGGGATCGAACTCGGGTCCTTGTGCCTTCGAGGCAGGCGGCGAAACCACTGAGCTAAATCCCCGGCCCAAGTATAGTGTACTTTATAAAACTTCATACGCTTCATTTACTCTTCAGCTCAAGTCCATGAGGTAACTTAATGATAGGGTGGCATCTACATTTTACAAAGAAAGATACTGACCCTAGAAGATATCTTAGGGTAGTGATGGCAAACCTTTTAGAGACTGGGTGCCAAACTGCAATCCCCCAAACCCACTTACTTATCGCACAGTGCCAACACTGCAGTTTAATCTGAATACACTGAGGTTTTAGTTTAAAAAAAACAACTACATTAACATCTTTTGTCTTAAAAACATAATAACATGCATGCCATGGGTTCACCACAGACTTAGGGCTTCTCCCAGAGGCAAAGGGAAGCTCCAGGTCAGAACCTGGGCTAGTGGACCTTGTTGCCACTGCTGGGGTGGGTAGAGAATGGAGCAGAAATGGCCCAGAACTGTCCTTTCAGTCCTGGGTGTTGTCTTCCCCCTGGAAAGCTTGTGTATTGGCAGTCTGACGGTATTGATGCTCTTGTGGGACTGTAAATGCACAAAATGGGACTGACATTTGACTGATGGACAGTTGACTGTATCCAAGTTCACATTTTTTTTCTTAAGGATCCAAGAATAAGCAATCTGAGCAACCTCAGAAATGTCAAGGAGATAAGAGTAGAAATATTGTAAAGTAGTAGGAATTGTTCAGGCAGGGCTAATGCATACCTGGAGGGATCAGTCTGTACCTGGCCTCTGCAGAGGCTGGGCCCACTGCACAAGGTGTACTCTGATCACCCATTGTGGGAGAGTCTGGTGGTAAAAGCTTTTAAATTAACTAATTTTTATGTGTTCATTGATTCATTTGGAAATATGCCAGACACTGGGCTAGATGCAGGTACTGAAAATGATGGACAAACCCCTGTCCTTCGATTTTAGTGGAGTTCTGGTCTAAAGTGATTCTAGAAGCAGCCATGGTGGTGCACACTTGTAATTCCAGCACTCTGGGAGGCTGAGGCAGGAGGATCACAAGTTTGAGCCTAGCCCGGGGAGTTTGGCAACTTGGTGACTTACCTTAAAATTTTAAAGAATTTTTTAAAGGGCTGGGGATGAAGCTTCGTCCAAAGGCCCTGGGTTCAATCCCTAGTACCACACAAAAACAGAATGATTTAATGCATGTAATTGTTTTGGAAAAACTAATTTATTTTCAACTCTGAAGTTTGCTTTTAGAACCCTTTGCGTTATCCTATAGTGTCTTAAGTGTATTGTTATCTTTTTGTTTTCAAAGCGTTTAATTATACAGTAGGTTGGTACTTGATTCTCACAACCACCATGGGAGGGAGGTTAGGGATCCATCCTTATTCCTGTTTCACAGATGAGAGAATTAAGACTCAGATGACCCTGCTTCTTGATTTTTCTGGGATAGTCCTGGTGTGTGTCTCTCGTTTCTAGAATATCAGTCACAGAAGCATCCTATCTTAAAGGATGAATTGTGTTTTTGGTCAAGTAAGTGAGGCCTCAGCCCTTGAACTGTCTTTGGTAGTCAAATCAAGTTTTCTTACAGTGAAAGAATGCTACATGTGGTTTAGAGACATGGGTTTATTGACCAGAATGTTACTGGGCATAAGGAAAGGGGGAGTTACTGATGGCACAGTGATTATTAGTTAATAGAGTCAAAGGGCTGAGCTCCTGATACAGGCCTTTGGGAACCTGTGGTCCCAGTGCTGACTTTTGAGTGCTCATAATTGCTTGCCTTGTGGTTGTGCTGCGTTGCAGGTTTGAGTGGGATGAGCTGTCTAACTGAAGAGTGTCTGGCCTGTGGCTCCCAGGGGAGTACAGTGCACTCTGCCGTGAGTCCCCACCTGCAAAGGAATGGAGGCTCCTCGGGGAAAGGCGCAGCTTAGTCGCTTCACAGCCAGAGCATCACGTGCAGTGCTGGCATACTGTAGTCATTCAGAACTTGCTTTGTTAAGTAGAATAAGCAAGTGTTGACCTCAGCTCTGTAGCTGATTACCAGTACTGCCTTGTATGAGTTGCTTTGTGAGGTAGGAATGGTGGTGGTATCTGTCTCAAGAGGTGAGGTACTGATTCATGTGCAGACAGAAGCTGTGGAAATCACAAAAGTTGCCCCTACTGCTGCTGCTTCCTAAAGCCCTGCAGTTAGCTAGGTAGTGTCTGAAATGTAGTGTCCGTGCTTTCACTGATACACTTCTGCTCAATAAACTAATCAGTCTGAGAGGTCAGGCTCTTGTCTCCCCCTCTGTCCCCCAGAGAATCTAATCAAGTGAAATGCGTTTTATTTTAGATCCAGCTTTTGTATTGAGTGCTGGCTGTGTACTCAGCCCTGTTCCATGTGCTGGAATTACAGCAATGCATGAGGAGGCAGGGCGCCTTCTCTGTGTAGCGTAGCTAAGCCAGAGAGTGCCAGATGTGGTGGACTAAAGAGGAAATACAGCAAGGTTACAGGAGGCAAGAGTGGGTCAAGGCAGGGTGCCTTTAAAAATCTATGCCTAACATTTGAGCTGTGGCTTGAATAAGGAAAAGAGCCGACCATGGATAGCACTTTGTGAAGATGAGCTGCCAGGAGCCAAGGTTTTGAGGCAGGAACGAGCTTGACGCATTGACAGGAGACAAGGGATGAGAGAAGATGAGAGGTAGATGGGAAACTGCTTGTATAAATCACTGTTAGCCTCAGTTGGAAGTTGGGATTTTATCTTAAGAGTGTTAGGAAGTTTTAAGCAGGGACATGAGTGAAATTTTAATTTTCAATGGGTCACTTATATGCTTGGTCATGGACTAGGCTTCTGTTGTGTTTTGACACCAGGTTGGCAGCTGTTGACATACTTTCAGGGAGGTGCTGGTGGTAGTCAGCGAGAGGTCAGGAGATGGATCTGGGACACAGGTAGAGCTGATGGGGTTCACAGATGGGGATGGAGTAGCAATTAGAGATGCAGAAGGAACCAAGATAATTGTAGGGTTCAGAGTTTGAATACTGGAGTAGATAATGATGTGGTGGTGGTGGCAAATATTGGTGAAAATGACGAACATGTTTAGAGGAAAGGAAATAAAGAACATGGTTTT